CCTGTCGTCCTGCGAGGCCGAGCTCTACGTGGGCACAATGGCTGCTCAAGAGGCACGCTGGCTCTCCTTTCTCCTCGCTGAGTTAGGCTACCCCCAGCAGTCGCCCACCCTGTGGTGTGACAACCAGAGTGCCATTCATCTCACCAAGGATCCTGTGTTCCACTCTCGCACCAAGCACATCGAACTTCGTCATTTCTTCATCCGAGATCTTGTTCAGAGTGACCAGCTGACGGTACGGTACATCGCCTCAGATTGCAACCTCGCCGACCTCTTTACCAAGGCTCTCGGCAAGGCTGACCACCATCGCCTTCTCCGTTCCATGGGGCTATGTGCTCCTTGACCGGGTTTGCAGTCTATGGGGGTGTGTTAGAAATAGACTGCAAATACCACTTTTGTATTTGTACTTTTATATCCTAGTTTAGGTTGTGAATGTTCTAGTGCGTTGGGGTGTACTCACAAATCCCAACCTCACCCAATTGTGATCCCCCCAATCTCCAATTACCCAATTGGAGATTCCGGAGATCCCAATGGGGATTCCCTCCAATTCCCCCTTCATCCATTCTCTCTCACCTTGCCATGTACTTATAGAGCCTTGGGCTCCTTACCTAATCAATCATTTCAACTCTATTTCTTACAATCTATACTCAGTCCCTTTCCATAGCAGGTCGGTCAACGGCGCAGCTACCTCCGCCATATTCAGGATAAATCGTAGAACGTAATTTACGAACCTAAAAAACTTTGTTGTTCTTGGAGGTTCGAAGGCGGTAGTAAGGCCTGCACGGTCTTGATCTTATATGGGTCAACTACGACGCCCTTAGTGAAAATTACGTCCCATAAATTCGAAGCGATTCTTTAAAATCTCGCACTTAGACCCCTTCGTGAGCAGCCGATGCTCTTGCACTAGCGTGAAAACTGCTTCGAGTTCCTTAAAGTGCTGCTCCCTAGTCTTGCTGTAAATCAGAGCCAGGACACAAAAACAAAGCCAATGCTCTCATCCAGCTTGCACCTGTTGTGGCTATCCAAATTGAAGGGATGAACCCGCTACTCAAGGGACTCTTTACACACGGGTAGACCATTGTCCCCGAGATTCCCTTGGCAGAGAAACGATATCTGCTCCAATGGGACATTGATATTGCATACCAGAAAGGATCAATGAATATCTGGATACTGATATGGGTACCCAACTACCCACCTTTGCATCAGGTACCACTTGAAGAATGCCACGATGTCCTATATGCCGTACACTTCAGTAGCAATAAGACGCTCACCGATATTGCAAAGCACTACTACTGGCTCCACATGACAGACGCATAGAGGTTCGTCACGTCATGCGACTCATGTCAGCGGAAAAAGATGTGTACAGTTGTACTGACGTACCATTAGTTGTGATTTGGTCGTTCTTGTTTTCCTTTCCCAATCTCATTTGAGTTTTGGTTTGCAAACTGCAAATTTGCATTTGCGAGTTTCGCAAAACCACTTTCCATACTTTTGGTTTTCGCCACCCCAACAGCCAATCGCAAGCCTCTCGCCCCAACCCAAGCCACGCTCTCTTTTCGCGGCTTGTAGCTTGGGACCTGGGCTTTTACTGCCACTTCTATACTTTATGTTGCTTAACGTTCCAATGCCCTTGGTAAAGCGGGGTTCAATCAGCTAAAGCCATTGCCTTGGCTTGCCATCTCACGCTCCGCGACACCTATGCCCACGTGAAAATACGTTATCCTAACCCTCCAACTTCCACCTTTATGTCTTATGGAGTTTCTGACATGGGGGTGCATTCAAGGGCTGTGCGACCTTGGTGTGCGAAACTCTATTCCCCGCCTTTATGCTCCCACTTCCCTAGGCGAGGTAGGAGTGCGCAGGCAGCAGCTAATCTCGGATAGGTGGGAGTGCACAGGCAGCAGCTCACCTGGGCAAGGTGGGAGTGCACATGCAGCAACTCACCTGGGCAAGGTGGGAGTGCACAGGCAGCAGCTCACCTGGGCAAGGTGGGAGTGCACAGGTTGCAGCTCACCTGGGCAAGGTGGGAGTACATAGGCAGCAGCTCACTTGGGCTAGGTGGGAGTGCACATGCAGCAGCTCACTTGGGAAAGGTGGGAGTGCATAGGCAGCAGCTGACCTGGGCAAGGTGGAAGTGCAGAGGCAGCAGCTCACCTGAGCAAGGGGGAGTGCACAAGCAGCAGCTAACCTGGGAAAGGTGGAAGTGCACAGGCAGCAGCTCACCTGGGCTAGGTGGGAGTGCACAGGCAGCAGCTCACCTGGGCAAAGGGGAGTGCACAGGCAGCAGCTCACCTGGGAAAGGTGGAAGTGCACAGGCAGCAGCTCACATGGGCAAGGTGGGAGTGCACAGGTTGTTGAGACGGCTTTGGTGGTCACTGCACCTAGTCGCTCTGCCAGGCGCTCGCAGCGCTGTGGTGGTCGTGGGGCATCGGCAGGCGGTCAGGGCGCTGGTGAGGCCCTGGCAGCTAGCTGAGGAGCGGGTGCGGAGGAGGAGGGGGAGCAGCAGCAGCCACAGCAGCAGCAACCGCCACAGCTGCAGCAGCAGTAGCAGGGGCAGCAGCCGCAGTGGGGTCCTGGGAGTTCTCGGTGTGGTGCGGGCCCTCGTGGTTGGGCCCTAGGGCAATCGTAGCCCTGGGGCTCACGTGGCTCCTCCAGGGACCAGGGTGGCGTGGGGTCTGGGGGTCCTCTGCGTTGTGTGTACCAGATCCAGTTTGGCCCCCTGTGCGGCCACGTCTACGTGCGCAACGGTCACACCGCCGCTCACTGCTTTCGCCGCTTGGACGATTCGTTCCATGGTCACTTTGGGCCCCTGATGCCCCTTCAAGGGTGGCCTATTCTTATTGGTTGCAGCGTCCCGAAGTTTGAGTTACAGATGGCTCAAATAGATTTTGCCATGCTTTCGGGTTATTCTGAGAACTCTAGTGTGTCTGACGCTTATTATCTTGCTATGTGTAGTCTAGGCTCCTCTGCTATGTGTAGTCTAGGATCCTCGTCAGCCCCCATTGAGGCGGCCCTCTCCTTCACTCTGGACTCAGGTGCATCAGAATACTTCTTCCTGCACTGGTACCGGTCTCCCTTGCTCACACGCCTGCCGCGGTTGACGCTCACAGCACCATGGCTCTCCCTTATCCGTCTGTCCCATCAAGCTCCCTTACCGGCTTGCATATCCCCACGTTTTCCATGAACTTGGTTGATGTCGGTCATATCCAGGACCTCGGTGTCACCACCACGTTCCCTATTTACGAGAGATATGCAGCTTGTACGGATGCCACCACGTTCGCCCGTCTTGCCACCTTTGACCGCGACCCTGCGTCCGGTCTCTTAACACTACACACAGAGTCCCATCAGGTAGCCGCGTCCACCCAAGTTGCCGCGTCCTGCTCTTGCCGCTCCCTCACCCACGCAGCACTCTTGTGGCACCACCGCTTAGGTCACCCTGATCTCCCACGTCTGCGTCACATGGTACACTACAGTCTAGTCACTAGTCTCGTTGCGTCACTTCCTGCCCTCCCCCCTCGGTAGCCCCCGCGTGCACCTCCTGCGTCGAGGGCCGACAGCGCGCCGCCCCTAAATCCTTCTCGTTTCCTCCGACCACTCCTCCCCTACAGACTCTACACATGGATGTCTGGGGCCCCGCCCCGGTCCAGGGGCCTTACAGGGAGCGCTAATTTTTGTTGTGGTCGACAACTTCACATGGTTTACCACGGTTTTCCCGCTGGAGAGGATGACCGACGTGCCTAACACCCTCCTCCTGTGGCTCTGTGTCGTCCGCACCCAGTGCTCCCTGCCTGTGCTCTGTCTCTCCGACCATGGTGACGAGTTTGCCCCAATCGCCTTGGTACGTTATGTCGTGCGGAGGGCATCACCCAGACCTTCACTGTTATGGACTCGCCGCAGCAAAATGGGGTAGCTCCATGGTCATTGCTTGGTCATGGAGGTGGCCCGCACCTCCATGGGCCAGAACGGTGCCCCCCATTTTTGTGGCCATTCGCGATGCACTACACAGCTCACCAACTTAGCATGTGACCTCGCTCCTCGCAGCCACGGGTTTCGCCGACCCTCCTCTGGACTGGGTATCCTAGTAACGCGTCATCATTCTACATCTGGGGCTGCCAAGCTCACGTCCTTGCCTGTAGTGCGCACTGTTCGCACTGTCCCCTGTGTGTCTGTTGTGTGATGTCATCATATGCTATCACATTCTGTCTGCCTCCCATCGCATATTTTCAACTTGCATATGCGGATTGAATGTGTGCATGCATTTATGCGTGGTGTTTTCTGGAGTTTGTGAATGAGTTCTGTGTTATTTTGTTTGAGCAGGTATTTGTGATGATAGATCATGAGAAGATCTTCCCAACGCAACAAGAATCGCTTCAATCGGAGCAAGAACGTGAAAGCTATGAAAATTCAAAGTTCATGAGCTTGCGTTACAATTGCGGCAATTCAGAGTGAAGTTGTGGGGTGACTCAATATGGAATATGAACCATTGGGGGTTGGTAAATTCGTCACTCTACTGTAGCAGCTGTAAGTTGGTTGGTAATAACCAAGCTAGGTTGGCAAGTGTTGCCAACTTGGTGGGGTTGGTTGGGAAGGGACAAAGGTCAAAGTTGGGGTTCCTATAGGGAGGGGACTTTGTGCTTATGGGATTTCCTTGGTTGGGAACTCCCTTGGGACCTTTCCTCTCATCCCTCACTTACCTTCCAACCTCGTTCTTGCTCCTCCGATTCCTTGTGAGACTCTTGAACCTTGATTGAAGTTTGAGATTGAGTTAAGATCTTCTCCTACAGCATAACCCCCTGTGCGTCAAAATTCATAGCATTGTGAATAATCCATCAATCCATATGCTTCAAATTGGGAACGGTATCTGAGATTAAGAGCTACAACATATCCGAGTTTCGTGACATTCCAACAGCTAGTTTCTCATCGATCATGTTTCTTGTGGGCACGGCTTATTTGTCCAGAATTTCGGATATATATTTTGAGTCTTTTGCTGAGTATGGAGCTGAAGGAAGCCGTCATCGAGTACATCAATCGAGCCAAGAGCTACAACGACGATTTGGCCGCAATGGGAGCTGAGGAGAACGAAAAGGCAATGATGGGTTACATTGTCAACGGGCTCTCGAAGGAGTGGGCATCAGATCGACCTGCGTTGATTTGCAATCCACCTGCAAATATGACGAAGCTTCTGGAGATGCTGCAAGCCTTGGCGATATCCAAGGAGGATGTGACACGACGGGAGAAAGCGGCCCAAGGAGAAAATGGGGCTGCGGGTGTGGAGCAGGAGAAGCCTGCAATGGTGAATGCAGTCGCTGCAGGGAGAGGCATGGGTGCATGCTTCCACTGCGGCAAGATGAGGCAATGCCCTTGAGGCTATTTGCACAAGTATTTTCTAAATACTTTTCGCTGCGCCGGAGGCGAATGCTTGTTGAACACGCCCCGTCCGAAACCCAACTTTTGCCCCACGTCAATCTGTTTCTCACCACTTCCACTCCTTTCTTCCACTCAACCACCATTCTCCTTACTTTCCACCAATCTTCTCTCTTTCTTCTCCCCTTTCCGTACACCTCACGCTCACGCAATACCCGCTTCCTAGTACCTTCTCGTCCCAAGTCCGCATTTCTCTCCTCGTCACCCCAAGTCACGAGTAGTCCGTTGTGGGTGGCGGAACCACTCCAACAATTCTAGCTCCTAAGTTCACCTAGACTCCGTCCTTAATACTAACAGTGTCTTCCTCGGGTTTCCGCTCGATGCTCCTGACTGGTTGTTCTACCACTTGCAACATCACCGCTTCTTTCACTCTCCTGACGTTACGTTCGACGAGTCCATCACCTTTTACGCTCTCTTTCCTTTCCGTGGCACTCTATTCCTCCCTCTCTTCTTTGCCCCTCCTCCGCCTACCTCTCCCCTCCCACCCTGCCCGACCCTGTCTGTTTTTTCCCACGCCACTCCCCTCTCTTCGGTTGGGACTATGGGGGAGTTTGCAAACTCTGGAGGCTCTGTGGCTAGGGGTGCTCCTGACGCAGCTGCAATGCCCCTCCCCCCAGCTCCGGTACCCTAGGAACCTTAGCAGCCTCCCCCATTGCCATCGCAGCAGCAGCAGCTGCAACGGCGGGAGCCTGTGGACCCTGGGGGTGCTGGGTGTGGGGGTGCTAGTCCTGGGGGTGCTGTCTCGGAGGGTCCTGACGGCATCAGCAGTGGAGCTAGGGGTTCTATTATGGGCCGGGAGCAGCAGCAGCAGCCGCATTCTGCCCTTCATCTCCTTGGCCTTACCTTTGGCTCCCCTGACCGCCCACCTATCCCTCCCACAGTGTCTGCCCTCCCGCGTGCCCCTATCTACGGCCCGCTGTTCCCACCCCCGAACTCGTCTCCGGCTCGTTTCCCCCCTCGTTCTCCTTCGTCCCCTGTCCCGTCCCCTGTTGCCCCCCTACCCCACTAGGTTTTTCGTCCCCCTGGTGGTCGTCCTGTCTTTCCTCATGCTCGTGTCCACCCCATGGTCCTTCATTCTCATGCTCCTCCAGTCCCTGTCTTGCTGTTACCTCCCAAGTCATCGCTCCCGCTGTCCCCTGCTCCTTGTCTAGCATAGCCCTGATCGTGCCAAGGCGGCAGAAGTCTGCAAGAGCGGAATATCAACGAAGAGAAGAGCTCTGCAGGAAATGCTTGTCGAAGTGGCAGAAGAGCATTTCCAACTAAGTGACAGAAAAGCGGTATGTCGAAGTGGCAAAACATGAGCGCTTTTGTGCATGTGGTTTCTACAAGGACAGGTGGTTTTTCAAGAGACAACCTCTGTAGAGAAGGGAGTGAAGAAGCTCTCTGCCGATTTGATGCTAGGGGCTGTTCACAAAAGAGACTGTCGTCTGCGGAACTGCTCTAGGAACACGTTCGAGCAGCCGACCCCTCGGCAGAGTTGGAATTCGATACTACAATGCTCAGTAACTTAACGTAGAGTGTTGCAAGGATCCATTCGAGCAGAATTGCTTTCTGCCGAAGTTCGGCAAAAAGGCAGTTTGGAATTCTCTTTTGCCGTCAACCTCTTTGGCATAACATGAAGTGTCGTGCATAGAAGGACTCGCATATTGCACTTCCGTAGGCGACCCTTTCAGTAGAAAATGGACTTAGCTTTTTGCTGAAGGTGGCATTCCGAAATGAGCCGACCAGAACAGACAAAGGCAAACCTACCTACGATAATTAGAAATTGAACACATGATGCACACTTCTTAACTGCAAAATATGCGTAACATCCGACAATTTCTGTTTTGAATGAACAAGCAGAGTAGCGCGGAAATGAATATCGAAGTGTTGAATAACAGAATGACTATACAAGGTATGGCAAGCCAAGATATAGGAACAATAGAGCTAGTTTTGTTGTGAGATGCGAGGGTTCGGGAAGGAGGTTGAAGGGTCGCAAGTGATGAAGCGAGGTCCAGAGAACTCCTGAAGGTCGAGCTGGAAGGTATGGAAAAGCCGAGGCAGTTGTGTCAGAAAGGTATGGAATTGACCCGAGGCAGCGCGTGATTTTGAGCGTAGCAATACGGCTCGGTAAGTAATTACAATTCCCTCCCCCCCCCCCAAAAGGGCATCCGCGTGTCATCCTCGTTGATATGATTGGTCCATCGTATCAGAAAGTCAACGTGTCTTCCTTGTCCGTCGAAGCGAATCTGATGGCTCAAAATCTTCGATGGCTCAATGTTCGTCTCGGCTGGTGCCCGTTCATATGGGACCAAGTGCTGTCAAGCGACGTTTGATGTATCAGGGACGAACGGTCGTAATTGGCTCACGTGGAACGTGTTGTGAATATGCCAATTGCCAGATAGGCATAGCTGGGCGATCACCGACGTCACCATCTTTACGATTTTGAACGGTCCATGGTAGCGTGGTCGTACTTTTGTTGGTAGCTGCAGTTGTAAATTCTTGGTGTCCAAAGGGACTAGTTGCCCCGCTGCCATGGTAATATCTCGTCGATTTTGATCCGCATACCGTCGAACACTAGTATAGCCTTACGAATAAGTTTGACAGCTTTATCCCGGGCAGTCTGTAATTCCTCGATGAACTGCTGAGATCTTGGTACTTGACTCTCGATGTTGGTGGAGATAGGCACTATCGGGTCCATCCCGCAATTGAGGCAAAACGGGGAGTGATTAGTCGTAACCGAGGGTGCGTTGTTGTAGGAAAATCACAACATGGGAAGCGTATCCTCCCATTTGTTTTGGTCGGGGTAGTTTGTCCGTATCAGCTGCTTCATCGTTCGATTTGTCCGTTCTACCTGGCCGTCCGTTTGCACATGATAAGCGGATGAGAATTTCAGGCACGTGCCATACCGAGCCCACGTGTCTTGCCAAAACTTCGATGTGAACTACGGGTTTCGACCGCTAATGATTACTGCTGGTATCACGTGTAGTCGAACGACGGTCGAAATGAACAGCTGCACGGTTTCTTCGGCTGTGATTGTCGTAAAACATAGTGCAAAATGTGCCATTTTTGTTAATCGGTCAACGACAAACACTGCGCAATTTTTTCTGTGCAGTTCTTGTGTACATCCGCGGTTCTTGTTCGTACCCTACATTGTGTTCGTTAGACATGTGTGTTTATGCTCGCGTATGATATTGTAAGCTGTTAGATTTCATATGTATATATTTGTAATGTATATAAGCTATAGCCTAGGTAGAGATAGTTGATATAGGGTACATCACATAGATACAAACTCTGTTGTCGGCCATGCTCTAGTCAACGGCAGCTCGCCGCTAGCTCGCAGCCAACAGATTGCGGCCGCCTGTTCGCCGCCGCCAGCGCGCCGCCTGCAGCTCGCTGCCCTCTGCCTCCCCCCTTGCCGCCAGCAGCTCACCGCTGCCAGCACGCCGCAGACGGCTCGCTGCCAGCAGCTTGCTGCCAGCTCGTCGCCAGTAGCTTGCCGCTAGCCGGTTACCGCTGCCAGCCTGCCGCTAGCCTCTCGCCGCTGCTGGCTTGCTGCCAGCCTGCCAATTGCTGCCGCTGGCGCCAACCTGCCGCTCGCAGCCGCTGCCGCCACCCTGCTGCTCGTCGCCGCTGCCGCCACCCCGCCGCTCGTCGCCGCTGCCGCCAACCTGCCGCTTGCCGCCGCTTGCTGCCGCTGCCGCCAGCCTGCCTCTTGGCGCCATTGCCGCCAGCCTGCCGCTCGTTGCCGCTGCCGCCAGCCTGCTGCTCGCTGCCGCTGTCCGCTGCCAGCTTGTCGCTCGCCCCTGCCATCTGCCGTTCGCTGCTCCCTCCTGCCGCTTGCTGCTGCCGCCAGCTCCCGCTGCCTGCCTGCCCCTGGCCGCTTGCCTCCTTGTGCCAGCCAGCCGCCAACTGCCAGCCAGCCACCAGCCAGCCGCCTGCCAGCCGACAGCCAGACGTCAGCCAGCAGCCAGCCGCCAGCCCGCCGCCAGCCAGTCGCCTGCCAGCTGCCAATCAGCCGCTCGCCAGTGGCCCGCCCGCAGTCAGCCAGCCGCCAGCCAGCCGCTAGCTCCTAGCCAGCTACCAGCCAGCCGCCGGCCCAGCTGCCAGTTAGCCGCCAACCAACCACTAGCTGGCAGCTCCAGCCGCTCTCGCCACCGCTACGGCCACACCCACCACTCCCACTTCCGTTGTTAGTGCACCTGCAACCACGAACGCCACTATCACTAGTGCCGGCGCATCCCACTAGTCTCCTCGATTCTAGAGCTCCTCGCCGCCTCTCCTGCCAGCATGACGACCTCGTCGGGGTTTGTCCTTCAACTGGACGGCGAAGGCCGTGCGGTCGGCTTCTCTCCCTGGCTTCTCGCTCCGCGCCGGCAGTTGGTGAGCCAGCGAGTGGACAACGACCTGCTGGAGGCCCACATTACTGGTGAGCTACTGTCCCCCCCCCCCCCCCCTCCCCCCGTGTCCCGAGTCTGTTTACGCCGATGCGACGTTGGCGCAGCGTGAGGTGTACGCAGCTGCACGGTCTGCCCACGCCATCTGGCGGGCTCGTAACGTCGTGGTGGTCACTAACGTCTGCCTCTGTTGCTGAGACCGTTGTGGCGGTCACTACACCTGGCTCGTAGCGTCGTGGTGGTCGTGGGGCATTGGCAGGCGGAGGCCCTGGGAGCTGGTGGAGGAGCGGGTGCGGAGCAGGAGGGGGAGAGGCAGCAGCCGCAGTAGCAGCAGCCGCTACAGTAGTACCGACAGTAGCAGCAACAATCGCAATGGGGTCTTGAAACTTATGGGCGTGGTGCGGGCGTGTGGCTCCTCCGGGGTCAGGGTGGCATAGGGCCTGTGGGTCCCGTGCGCTGTGTGTACCAGATCCAGACCGGCCCCTTGCGCGGCCAGGTCTGCGGGCACCCGGGTCACAATGCCGTTCGCAGCTTTCGCCGCCTGGACGATCTTTACCGTGGTCACTTTAGGCCCCTGGTGACCCCTTCGAAGTGGCTTGTCCTTATCCGTTGCTTCGTCCCGGTGTTTGAGTTAGAGATGGCTCAGATAGGTTATGAGGATTATAGTTTGTCGGACTCATATTATCCTGCTGTGTGTAGTCCAAGAACCCCTACTTTGTGTTGTCTAGGCTCCTCGTCGACCCCTGCTGAGGCGGCCGCTCCTTCACTTTGGACTCTGGCGCTTCTCACAATTGTGAGAAGAAGCTGCATTCTTGGAAGAAGCTGTGCCAAGTGGGTGAGGGAGTGATAGGAGCAGGACGCAGCTACCTAGGAGTCCCCCCAGGTAGCTGCGTGCGTCCACCTAGATAGCTGCTTCCTACTCCTATCGCTCCCTCACCACCTGGCACCAAGGTTAAAAAATACGGTTCATGAAAAATACGGGTTGAATTTTACGACTGTTTCGGGCCTTTTGCCAAAAAAACGACTTTTTTTTAGACATTTTTCTCCGAGACGAAAAAATCTAGAAAATGGCCTTGACGGTTAGATACGCTGTTTCTGGTTTGGGATGGGCCATGACATCAGCAATAACGACCCAAATACAGGTATGCCCATGAATCCTCCGCTTTTGGCCCCTCCTAGTACCTAGTACTTACTACTACTAGTCCTAATTCATACTCCTCCTAGGCCTGTAACCTCTCCTCCTACTACTACTACTACTCCTACCCCTCCTCCTCCTCCTCCTACTCCTCCTACTCCTACTCCTCGTCCTCGTCCTCGTCCTCCTCCTCGTCCCCCTCGTCCTCCTCGTCCTCCTTCTCGTCCTCCTCCTGGTCCCCCTCGTCCTCCTCCTCCTCCTCCCCTCGACACCCACTCCCCCTGAAATCCCAAGGGTCAGCCCCATTGGCCTTCTTGGTGCCTTCCTCTGCCCTGCTACTCTCACCATCCTCCTCCTCCTCCTCGTATAGGGCACACTTAGTCTTGCCCTTCCTTTCCCCGCCAGAGGATTTCCCCCGCTTAGAGGGCTTTGCTCCCTCCGTCTTCTTCCTCCTCTTTTCCCCACTGGATCCAAATGTTGCCCAATCAATGGCATAAGCCCCCCACACCCTCCTCACCCTCCTCCTCGCCCTCGGCCACCTCCTCGGGTTCCGCCTCCGAGGCGACAGGTTCAGCAGCCCCCTCCTTGAGCCTACCCTCTTGCAGATCGGTGTAGAGCTTCGCGCGCACAGCTGCCTTCTTGTCGAAGGCCGCCCGGGCTCGCTGAGAGCATGCCACGCATGTGACATTTATGAGGGTCTAAGCCTTGCGCCGCTGGACCCTGCTCATGGCCGACCACCAACGCTCCACCTCGGAGGCAGTGATCGGCTGTGAAAGGACCTTCACGGCAAGTTCTTGCAGTAGCTTCACCTCCCCCCCATACATGGCCCACCACTCCGCCTCCGAGAGGCGTCCACAATCCACAAGGTGAGCCGCTGCCCATCGTGCATCACGGCCACCCACTTTCCCATTCCCGCTGTGAAAGGGGGCGAGCTGAGCCTCAAGGAGGGCTCGCCGCTGCACATCGATCTCCCGAGCTTCCAACACGGCCGTCACTCCTTTCAGTATCTTCCCGTCGTGCCATACTGTAAACCCTTGTGCTTTCCCTCTAATCAACTTTTCAAGTTCACTCAGTCTCACATGGTAATCAGAGCCTTATGGCTCACGCCCTTCTTAGTCGATCCTAGTTCCTACCCTAGCTACTCCCTTCGCACAAATTTCTCCCCATCTCCCTAGTGCCTCTCTCGCCATCCCCACATCTCTCCTCGAGACATCCCTCCCGTTCATCCGCACCGTATGTCCAAGTCGCCCCATCCTGTCCCTCCATGGCGTCCGTTCGCGTCGCCCCGCCCCATCCATCCGCATCGCCCCGTCCCATCCGTCCGCGTCGCCCCGTCCCGCCCGTTTGCCTCCCCCGTCCCGTCCATCCGCGCCCTCCATTCGCGTCGCCCCGTCCAGTCTGTCCGCGCCGTCTGGCTGCGTCGCCCCGTCCCGTCCGTCCAAGACGCGCCGTCCCGTCCGTCCGCACCGTCCGTTCACGTCGTCCCGTCCCGTCCATCCGCGTCACGCCATCCCGTCCGTCCGCGTCGCCCCGTCCCGTCCGTCCACGTCGTGCCGTCCCGCCCATCCGCGCCATCCGTTCACAACGTCCTGTCCCATCCGTCCGTGTCGCGCCATCACGTCTGTCCGTGCCGTCCCGTCTGTCCGCGTCGTCCATCCTCATCGCCCCGTCCCGTTCGTTTGCGCCGCGCCGTCCCATCCGTCCTCGCCTTCCGTCCGCGTCGCTCCGTCCCGTCCGTCCACGTCGCGCCGTCCTGCCCATCCGCGCCGTCCGTTCGCGTCGCCCCGTTCCATCCGTCCACGTCGCGCTATCCCGTCCGTTCGTGGCGTCCATCCGCGTCGCCCCGTCCCGTCCGTTCGCTTCCCCCCGTCCCGTCCCGTCCGTCCGCGCTGTCCGTCCCCGCCGCTCGTCCCGTCCTGGCAGCCGCATCTGCAGCAGCAGCAGCCTTCACCCCCTCCCGTCCCCCTCTTCCCTCCCCTCAGAGGCTCCCTGCCCGCCTTCCGCCCGTCTTCCCCCTCTCTCCTCCCCTCCGCGGCTCCCAGCCCGCCTTCCGCCCGTCCTCCCCCTCTCTCCTACCCTCCGCGGCTCCCAGCCCACCTTCCGCCCGCCCTCCCCCCTCTCACCTCCCCTCCGCGGCTCCCAGCCCGCCTTCCGCCCACCCTCCACCCTCTCTCCTCCCCTGAGCGGCTCCCAGCCCGCCTTCCGCCCGTCCCCCCCCCCCTTCTCCTCCCCTCAGCAGCTCCCAGCCCGCCTTCCGTCCGTCCTTCCCGTCTCTCCTCCCCTCAGCAGCTCCCAACCCGCCTCCCACCCGCCCTCTCCCTCTCTCCTCCCCTGAGCGGCTTCCAGCCCGCCTTCCGCCCATCCTCCCCCTCTCCCCTCCCCTCAGCGGCTCCCAGCCCGCCTTCTGCCCATCCTCCCCTCCCCTCAACGGCTCCCAGCCCGCCTTCCGCCCGTCCTCCCCCTCTCCCCTCCCCTCAGCGGCTCTCAGCCCGCCTTCCGCCCGTCTTCCCCCTCTCTCCTCCTCTCAACGGCTCCCAGCCCGCCTTCCGCCCCTCCCCCCCCCTCTCTTCTCCCCTCAGTGGTTTCCAGCCCGCCTTCTGCCCGTCCTCCCCCTCTCTCCACCCCTCAGCGGCTTCCAGCCTGCCTTCCGCCTGTCCTCCCCCTCTCCCCTCCCCTCAGCAGCTCCCAGCCCGCCTTCCGCCCGTCCTCCCCTCCCCTCAACAGCTCCCAGCCCGCCTTCCGCCCGTCCTCCCCCTCTCCCCTCCCCTCAGCGGCTCCCAGCCCGCCTTCCGCCCGTCCTTCCCCTCTCCCCTCCCCTCAGCGGCTCCCAGCCCGCCTTCCGCCCGTCCTCCCCCTCTCTCCTCCCCTCAACGGCTCCCAGCCCGCCTTCCACCCCTCCTCCCCCCCCTCTCCTCCCCTCAGTGGTTTCCAGCCTGCCTTCCGCCTGTCCTCCCCCTCTCTCCTCCCCTCAGCGGCTCCCAGCCCGCCTTCCGCCCGTCGTCCCCCACTTTTCCCCTTCCGCCCATCCTCCTCCAGCGGCAGCAGCACGTGCCACCCGCAACAGCACCACCTCCTCCGGCGGACGCACCACTCGCCGCCCGCAGCTGCACCTCCCTCCGGTGGCAGCACCACGCGCCACCCGCCACTGCACCTCCCTCCGATAGCAGCCCCTTGCCGCCCGCAGCTGCACCTCCATCTGGCAGCAGCACCACGCGCCGCCCGCAGCTGCACTTCCTCCGGGGGAAGTGCACGAGCCGGCCACAGCAACACTTTGTCCGGCGGCGGCAGCACCAACCACCGTCCGCCGCACCACCTCCCTCCCCTGGTGGCAGCGCCACGTGCCGCCCGCAGCAGCACTTCGTCCAGTGGCAGCACCTCCGGCTGCAGCACCACTCGCCGCCCGCCGCTGCACCTCCCTCCGGCGGCAGCACCACGAGCTGCCCGCAGTTGCACCTTCCTCCAGCAGCAGCCACTCTCTGCCTGCAGCTGCACCTCCAACCGGCGGCAGCACCACGCGCCGCCCGCAGCTTTACCTCCCTCCGGCGGCTGCACCGCTCGCCGCCCGCAGCTGCACCTCCCTCTGGCGGCAGTACCACGCGCCGCCCGCAGTTGCACCTCCCTCCGGTGGCAGCACCATGCGCCGCCCGCAGCTGCACCTCCCTCTGGCGGCAGCACCACCCACCGCCCGCGGTTGCACCTCTCTCCCGCAGCAGCACCATGCGCCGCCCGCAGTTGCACCTCCCTCCGGCGGCAGCACTACGCGCCGCCCGCAGTTGCACCGCCCTCTGGCAGCAGCCACTCGCTGCCCACAGCTGCACCTCCATCCGGTGCAGCACCACGCATCGCCCGCAGCATTACCTCCCTCCGGCGGCAGCACCACTTGCCGCCCACAGTAACACCTCCCTGCGACGGCAGCACCACGTGCCGCCCGCAGCTTGACCTCCCTCTGGCGGCAGCACCACTCGCCGCCCGCAGCTGCACCTCCCTCAGGCAGCAGCACCACCCGCTGCCCACAGTTGCACCTCCCTCCGGTGGCAGCACCGCGCGTTGCCCGCAGCTGCACCTCCCTCTGGCGGCAGCACCACCCGCCGCCCGCGGTTGCACCTCTCTCCCGCGGCAGCACCATGCGCCACCCACAGTTGCACCTCCCTCCGGCAGCAGCCACTCGCTGCACACAGCTGCACCTCCCTGCGGCGGCAGCACCACGTGCCGCCCGCAGCTTGACCTCCCTCCGGTGGCAGCACCACTCGCCGCCCGCAGCTGCACCTCCCTCAGGCAGCAGCACCACCCACCGCCCGCAGTTGCACCTCCCTCCAGCGGCAGCACCGCGCGTCGCCCGCAGCTGCACCTCCCTCTGGCGGCAGCACCACCCGCCGCACACGGTTGCACCTCTCTCCTGTGGCAGCACCATGCGCCGCCCGCAGTTGCACCTCCCACCGCCGGCAGCACCGCACGCCGCCCGCAGTTGCATCTCCCTCCAACAGCAGCCACTTGCTGCATGCAGCTACACTTCCATCCGGCGGCAGCACCACACGCCGCCCGTAGCTTTACCTCCCTCCGGTGGCTGCACCACTCGCCGCCCGCAGCTGCAACTCCCTCAGGCGGCAGCACCGCATGCCGCCCGCAGTTGCACCTCCCTCCGGCAGCAGCCACTCGCTGCCCGCAGCTGCACCTCCATTCCGCGGCAGCACCACGCGCTGCCCATAGCTTTACCTCCCTCCGGCGGCTGCACCACTCACCGCCCGCAGCTGCACCCCCCTCCGGTGGCAGCACCACACGCCGCCCGCAGTTGCACCTCCCTCCGGCGGCAGCACCACGCGCCGTCCGCAGCTTTACCTCCCTCCGGCGGCAGCACCACGCGCCGCCCGCAGCTGCACCTCCCACCAGCGGAAGCACCACTCGCCGCCCGCAGCTGCACCTCCCTCAGGCGGCAGCACCACGCGCCGCCCGCGGATGCACCTCCTTCCGGCGGCAACAACACTCGCCGGCCGCATCTGCACCTCGTCTGGCGGCATCACCACGTGCCGCCTGCAGATGCACCTCCCTCCGGTGGCAGCACCACGCCCCGCCCGCAGCTGCACTTCCTCCGGGGGAAGCGCACGCGCCAGCCACAGCAGCACTTTGTCCGGCGGCAACACCAAGCACCGCCCGCCGCACCACCTCCCTCCTCTGGCGGCAGCGCCCCGTGCCCCACGCAGCTGCACCTCCCTCCGGCAGCAGTACAACAAGCCGCCCGCAGCAGCACCTCGTCCGGTGGCAGCACCAAGCGCCGCCTTTAGCACCTGCCCCCTTGGGCGGCAACATCACATGCCGCCCGCAGCTGCACCTCATCCGGTGGCAACAGCATGTGCCGTCCGCGTTCTCCTTGAGCGCCAGCTTCCCGCGTTGCCCGCGTCCTCCTCTGGCGACAGCACCACGCGCCACCCGCAGCTGCAACTCCCTCCGGCGGCCCGCAGCTGCACCTCCCTCCGACGGCAGCACCACGCGCCACCCGCCACTGCACCTCCCTCCGGCGGCAGCACCATGCACCGCCCACAGCAGCACCTCCTCTGGCAGCGGCACCACCCGCCGCCCTCTGCTGCCCCTCATCCGGCGGCAGCACCACCCGCCGCCCGCCGTTGCACTTTCCGGCGGCAGCACCACGTGTTGCAGCACCTTGTCCCGTGGCAGCACCACATGTCATCCTCCGGGGGCAGCTTCATGCGCTGCCCTCAGCAGCACCTCCCTCGGGCAAACTCACCACGTGCCGCCCGCCTCCTCCCTCGCGCCATCCTGCTTTAGGGGGTTGCTTCCATTCAAGGCCTCGACTTCTCTCTCTATGCAGACTAATGGGTTGTGTTAATATATTATACTAAATTCACTAGTCTTCATAGATTTGTTGGTCTTGAATAGAGTTAAGCACTCCACTACAATTAGGGTGTAATAACCCTAATTGGAGGTTGGGTTCCCAACTTGGTTGGGTTTCCAATTTGGTTGGGTCCACAATTATTTGGGACCCCCAATAATTATTGGACCACCAATAATCCCAGCCAGAATTATTGGTGGGGGCGACAACTCCCAACCAACCCTCCCTTCCTCCCTTTCCTCACAATCCTATGTAAACCCTTGTGCTTTCCCTCTAATCAACTTTTCAAGTTCACTCAATCTCACACATACCTCCTCCGAAAACTGGTTCTTTGGGTTGAGCAGCCACCCAATAGCGTGGAGGGGGTTGTGGAGCTGTTTGTCCCACCTCCGCGCAATGATCTTCTTGATCGAGGTGAGGAAGGCAGCTTTCTCCTTCGAGGGAAGAAGCTTGGTCTTCTTGATGAAGAATGTGGCTGCAGCATGTGAGTGGGAGGGTGTGTGGCGCGGTGTGAGGGGCTTGTTTGAGCACTTTCGAGGTGCTGCTCATATGGTAAGGCACCAGCAGTAAAGACACTGAAATGAGGCAAGAAGAACAACCATAATGGGCAGCAATGGGGGCGAGTGAGGGCCCTTACCTGCTGCCTCGGCCGCCATGTTTGTCTTGACTGTGGTGTCGAGCATTAAGCCATAGATTCTGCCCATAAGCAGAGATCTGCTGTCCACTGCTCTCAGCACCTCGTACACGGGGTTCATGAGGTTGTACATGGCCTCCACGGAATCCCTGAATGTGTCGGCGAGGAGGAGGACCCACATCTGCCTCCCCTCGTCCATCTTGGAGGCAGCCACGCCCTTCCACTCCTCCGAAATCACCATCCGCTGCATGTCTGCTTTCACCTCCAAGAATCTAGCCAGCATGACTACTTGTATGCCAAATCGGGTGGTCCCGGGGCGGACGAGCTCGAGCTTGCTGAAAACTTCTCGAAAGAGAATGACAGCGCTCACGCTCTTCTTGACGATCATCACGCAGCGGTGTGCTTGGTGCAACACCCGCTTGATGATACTTAGTGCTCCAATATCATGGAGCATTAAGTCCAGACAATGGGCAGCGCAATTCGTGAAAAAAGACTGCAGGATACCCATCTTCCAACTCAGCCGCCTTCTGATTGTTGGATGCGTTGTGCATGACAACCTGAACCACACATCCATCACCCACCTCACAGATTCCCCCCCAGATCAAACCAGCCAAGAACTTTCCCATTTTCTTTGCTGATTTGGAGTCCACAACCTCCACCATGACTGGAGCCATGTCATTTTGAGCGATGAGGCACACCAAGCCTCTGCTCTTGAGACACGTCCAGCCATCCACGGAAAGCGTGCACCCCATTGTTCGCCAAGTTTTCTTCAGTGGCTCGACCAAGTCCTCCACATCGGCCCTCAGCTTTTCAAGCAGAGGGCCGCCAACCTTGTATGCCGAGGGAAGCGTGTACTGCCTCCCATAGGCGACGGCGGTGTTCACAAATTCCTGCAACGCCTTGGACCTGTGAGTAAGGGGGTATGGAGTTCGGCTAAGTGCGGGCATAAAAACATCTAGGGGCCACTATGGCATTGATCTAAGGTAGTTGTAATAGGGCAGAAATGGGTGAGGGAAAGCGGGGGACGAGAAACTTACTGGGAGCACCAAAAAGCCCAGTCATTTTCAACCACCGCTGTCGCCCAAAGGAGGTCTAGACGCTTGAGCTCGCGGGGGTCCATCAAGTCCCGAATGTCGGTCTGACGAATGCGATGTGGGGTTCCGCATCTGGCGGCGGCGATGTTGAAGCCAAAACCGAGGCAGAGGACGTGGAGCCACGCTCGCTGATGCCCTTCTTGCGGAGATTCCTCACAAATTCAGAGGTACACTCCACGACGTTTTTCAGCTTTGACGTCGGCGTACCGTAGAGGTACTCAGTGATCCTCGTCGCGCTGGCCGTCAAGGACAATTTGCAATGAAGACACTCGGCACGGAGGAGTTTTCCGTCTGGACCATGAATCTTCCGCACATGTTGCCCAACGGGACAAATTGCTCTGCCCATAGTGGAAACTAATCCTGCAGCTGGTCGAAATGATGTCGCGCTGTCTAAGGCAGCACATTCGTCAAGAAAAACGCGGGCATGAAGGGTCACTAGCGAGATTCGCGGAGCCTAGCGTGGAATTCTGATGTAATTCAAACTTCCTAGATGAATTCCTACCTGTCTGTTGTTGATGCTCAGTATTTGTATCTCTAATAGTTGAAGGTTGGGTCGAGGAACGTTTGGGAGGGACTCTGGGAAGGATACCCATTTCGCGTATCGGGGGGGTTGGTTTACGAAACGCGCCACTCACACGTGTGTCGCACAAAGCGCGAACTCATCCCACAGGGCGAGAAGAAACTGAACGGGTTGTGGCGAAACAGTCGTTCATTTCGCAAGGCCCGGCGAAATTAACAACAAGCGCGGCTCGGGAATGGGTTGCGTACGCGCTGCGGGAAAAAAATGATTCTCGGCATTTCTCGTGGGTTGTGTACACCCAACCGACAGAATTGGATTCAAAATTCGTTATTGGACAATTTCAATTGTGGTTCAAAAATACGACCGAATAATACGACCGTAATTTTTTAACCAAAGCACTTAACACCATTTTGACCGGATTTTTTGGTATTATACGACTGTATCGTTAAAAACTGTATCATACGGGAGAATTCTTAAAAAAACTGTTGTGTGATGTCATCATATGCTATCACATTCTGTCTGCCTCTCATCTCTTGTTTCAATTCGTATGTATGGTTTGACTGTGTGTGAAAGAATTTGTGTGTGGTGTGTTCTGGAGTTTGGGAATGTGTTTTGTGTTATTCTGTCTGAGCAGGTATTTGTGATGATAGATCTTGAGAAGATCTTTCCGACGCAACAAGAATCGCTTCAATCGGAGCAAGAACGCGAAAGCTATGAAGATTCAAAGTTCATGAGCTTGCGTTACAATTGCGGCGGTTACAAAGTGAAGTTGTGGGGTGACTTTATATGGAGTTGGGACCTTTGGGGTTGGGGAAACTTGTCACTCTACTGTAACAGCTGCAAATTGGTTGGGAACAACCAAGCTAGGTTGGCAAGGGTGGCCAACTTGGATGGATTGGTTGGGAAGGGACAAAGGTCAAAGTTGAGGTTCCTATAGGGAGGGAATCTTTGTGCTTATGGGGTTTCCTTGGTTGGGGACTCTCTTGGGACCTTCCCTCTCATCCTTCTCTTCCTATCCCAACCTTTCTCTTGCTCCTTCTAATTCCTTGTGAGATTCTTGAACTTTGATTGAACCTTTTGAGATTGAGTTAAGTTCTCCTCCTACAGCTTACCCCCTAGTGCGTCGAAAGCCATAGCGTCGCGAATACTTCATTAATCAACGTGATTCAAATTGGGAACGGTAGCTGAGATTAAGAGCTACAACATATCCAAGTTTCGCGACATTCCAACGGCTAGTTTTTTGTCGACGTCGTTTCTTGTGAAGACGACTTTTCTGTCCAGAATTTCGGATTTATATTTTGAGTAATTCTAGCTCCTAAGTTCACCTAGACTCCGTCCTTAATTCTAACAAGTGGTATCAGAGCGATATTGAGGACATTAAGAGGAGTCTACAGAAGTTTGAAGACCCTTCTAGACCCACCATGGCCTGTGGGTGTGCCTAAGTGGTGTTCTAAAGGTTGGATGTGTCTTCCGCTAAGGGGAAACTCTGCCGAAATTTCGTGGACGCCGACACTTGTGAAAATATCGAGGGAGCTGAGTGTGGACAGCAAAGGGGAGCTGAAATTCGTCATTTCTCAAGGAGAAGATGAATGAGAGAGGAGGAGATGCTAATGGAAGAGGAGCTGTAGCTGAGAAGACAAGTGAGCCGCCGCCATCAAAAGTTGAAGCTTTGGATGGCTCCAACTATGAGGAATGGAGCGGGCGGATGAGGAGTGCCTTCAAACGCTACAAGCTACTGAAGATTGCTGTTGGGGAAGAGAAGATGCCGGAAGAAGGCGAAGCACGCGAACGGTGGATTGAGAAAAGCGCGGTGCTTTTCGACCTCATCCTTCAATCGGTCAACAAGGAGATGTTCGAGCACATCAAGGATCTTGTGGAAGCGGATGATTCGGGTCCAAGGGCGTGGAAACTACTACGTGATGTGATTCAGCCCAACACTCTCCCAATGGTGATCGTGCTCGAGAAGGAACTTGCTGCCATCTCCATGCGACCAGGGGACAATGTGAAGCCGGTCCTTGACAAGATCAAGGACACCTATGCAAGGATGGCAGCAGCGGGCAGCAGTGTATCTCAGCTGCAGCAGTGCACCAAGATCATCTCGGTGTTGGACAACTCTTGGGACAACCTCATCCCCACCCTCAACTCTCAGCAAGATCAATGGACACCTGAGTGGCTAAGGCAGCAGATTCTGCAGGAGGACTTCCGCAGACGCCATGTGGGAGGCGGTGCTGCCACGAAGACTGCTGAGGGGTATGGAGCTGCAGGGCGCGGCAAAGGAAGAGGGGGTTGGAGAGGCCGAGGCCGTGGGAGGAGCTTTGGCAGAGGTAGAGGCCGAGGTGACTATAATGAGGGGTATGGAAGCTCCAGTGGCAGGGGGAGTACCAGAATGGAGGGCACCTGCTGGTACTGCAAGAAGATAGGGCATCCTTGGTTCAAGTGCTTCAGCCGGCCGGAGGGATGGTCACCTCCAGGCATGAAGCCGCCAAGTGGTGAACGCGCACAAGGTGGCGCTGTGCAAGGCTCAGGTGCACAAGGTGAAGGTGCACAAGGTAACGCCTATCCTGGGATGTATCTCATGGTTGAGGATGTGCATGGGCATGAGGGTGATGTGGGATCTGTCGGAAAGGTTGTGATGCACCCTCTCACGCACTGGGTGATTGATTCAGGTTGCACCAGTCACATGACCCCACGGGCAGATTTGCTTGATGAGGTAAAACCCCCTGGGAAGATCAAGTATGTGGCAGCAGCGTCAGGTGCTTTGCTCCCTGTCATTGGTGTTGGAAATGCCAAGGTTAAGGGAGCTAATGGGGAGCTTGTGGGGCTTGGGAATGTTCTGCTGGTTGAAGGCTTGTCTGCTAACCTTCTCTCTGTGCGGCGACTGCAGAAGAGTAAGGCCGAAGTGACCTTTGGACCCACCAGCTGCCGTGCTAAGCTTGGGAAGAAGGTGCTGTGGAGTCTGGAAGAGGAGACCAGCTGCATCAAGGACCTGTGGCAGCTGCCCATCATCCCTTGGAATGGGAAGACTCCAACAGCAGCAACGGCAGCAGCGGCAAAGGCAACAGCAGGAGGAGATGCAACTGCACCAACTGATGGGGTCCTGGAAGCAGTCAAGAAAGTGCAGCAGCAGCAGACACATGGTGAGGTGCTTGCTGGTGTGGATGCGAGTGCGGCATGGGCTAAGGCTTCATCAAGGAGTGGAGAGGCCGATTGGGAGACATGGCATGAGAGGTTGTGTCATGTGAACTTCCCTATGCTGCAGAAGTTGGTGAAGAATGGGAGCCTGAAGGGCTTGGAGGTGAAAGGGGGAGTGAAGGAGATTGGGAGCTGCCCTACATGCTTGGAGACCAAGTTCTCCAAGTTCCCCTTCAACAGCACTACAGGACCAGCCAAGACCCCACTTGCACTTGTGCACATGGATGTGGTGGGGCCCACAAGAGCCCCTTCCCTCTCAGGCAACCGCTATTTCTTGACAATTGTGGATGACCACACTCGGGCAGTGTGGGTTTACCCTTTGAACAGCAAGGGGGAGGTGGCAGCGGCTGTCCTTAAGGAGTGGATGCCTAGAGCTTAGAGGGAATGCGGATACAAGGTGAAGGTGATCCGCAGTGACAATGGTGGGGAGTTCATTGGAGCTGATTTTGAGGGGGAGTTGAAGAGGAAGGGGATCCAGCATCAACTGACAGTGCCCTACAACCCGCAACAGAATGGCGTGGCTGAGAGGTTCAACAAGACCCTGCAAGAGGGGGCACGCACTCTCCTTGGGCGTGCAGGGCTGCCTGATCCGTTTTGGGTGTCTGCACTGAGGCAGGTCGCCCTTGTGAAGAACAGGGTGCTGGCTACAGTTGGAGATAAGGAGTGGATCCCATATGTCAAGTGGTATGGGAGTGCTCCAGCTGTGAACATGCTGAGGGCATTTGGGTGCATGGTGGTGTTTCATGTGCCTAAGGAGAAAAGGGGGAAGTTGGAGGCTTCTGGAAGATGGGGTGTGCACTTGGGGATTGCAAAGGATCACAAGGGGTGGCTGCTATGGGACTTGACCACCCAGAAGTTGACAGTGTCAAGGGATGTGAAGTTTCTTGAGTCCCTGTACTACAAGGAATGGAAGCAGCAGCAACAGAAGCTTCCATCTACACCGCTCATTGTGGAGGCAGATGAGGTGCAGCACCCTTCAAGACAGGTGGAGGTTGCAGTGTCAGAGGAGGAGATGTCTGGGGTGACTGAGGAAGGGGGAGCAGCTGAAGTAGAGCAGCAGCAGCAGCAGCAGCATGAGTCTCCATCTCGAGTTCCACACCCGCCTGAGCGACCTAGGAGGGATGTGCGCCCTCCGGTGAGGCTGACCTATGGGGGAAGAGGCAAGCCAAATGTGGTGCAGGCTGGGAGTGTGGTTGAGCAGATTGAGGAAGATGAGATCGCTCACTGCTACTGGGCACCAATCCCTGAGCCCAAGACTCGAGAGGAGGCCTTGAATGGACCAAATGGGGAGAAGTGGAAGGCGAGTGAGGATGAGGAGTTCGGGTCCCTGATTGAAAACGAGACATGGGACCTGTGTGACTTGCCTCCTGGGAAGAAGGCAATCACTTCCAAGATGATCTACAGGCACAAGTATGGACCTGAAGGGGAGCTGACCCGCTACAAGTCTAGGCTTGTGGCACGGGGGTTTCAGCAGACAAAGGGGAAGGACTATGATGAGGTGTTTGCTCCTGTGGGGAAAGGAACAACACTGAGGGTGCTGTTGGCGATAGCTGCACTCCTGGGATGGAAGATACGGCAGATGGACATTGTGACTGCCTTTCTGAATGGGATCATTCTGGAGGAGGTGTACATGAAGCAGCCAGAGGGGCTGGATGATGGGAGCGGCAGGGTCTGCAGGCTGAAGAAGGCCATCTATGGCCTTAAGCAGGCGCCTCGTGCATGGTATCACAAGTTGGAGGAGGCGCTGTTGGCTGGGGGTTTCAAGAAGAGTGAGTGTGACCCCAGCCTGTTCCTGCTGCAGGAGAAGGATGAAATCCTCATGCTCTTGGTGTATGTGGATGATATCCTTCTCTTTTCTGCATCCACTGCTTTGCTGGACAGCGCAGAGCAGATGCTGGAGATGCAGTTCAAGTGCTCCAAGATGGGTGAGGCGAAGTACTACTTGGGGATGCATGTGGAGAGAGATGTGGAAAAGGGTGTGCTGAGGTTGCACCAGAGGAAGTACTGTGAGGGGCTGGCTGAGAAGTATGGGCTGCAAGATGGGGGAAAGCCAGCAACACCACTACCTTCAGGGTTTACTGTGGAGCCATGTGCTGATGAGGAGGTAGTGGGTGATAGTGACAGGAAGCTGTTTCATTCGATGGTTGGGTCGCTGAATTATGCTGCAAATCATACACGGCCTGACATTGCATTTGCTACATCACGACTGGCTAGCGTGGTTTCACGTCCTAGTCATGAGCAGCTGGAAGCGGCCAAGAGGTTGGTCCGCTATGTGAGTGCTACGGCATCAGTGGGATTGGAGTACAGTGGAGTGAGGCAGCGGTTGCAGAGAGGTGCTGCAGATGTGAAGAGTGGTGAGATGCTCTTGAGTTGCTATACTGACGCTAGCTTCAACTCAGTGAAAGCGGATGGCACCAGCATTGGGGGTTATGTGTGCTTGCTGGGAGGTGGTGCTGTGAGCTGGCGCAGCAAGAAGCAGAATGAGGTGGGATTGTCTTCATGTGAGACTGAGTACATGGCCTTACACCATGGGGCCAAGGAAGTGGTATGGCTGAGGCGTTTGTTGGAGGAGTTGGGAGTTGGTCAGGAGGAGCCGACAGTTGTGTTCTGTGACAATGAGTCTGCAGTGAAGCTGGCCAAGAATGCTTGTCTGCATGGGCTGACAAAACACATAAGGCCTAAGTGGCATTGGGTGAGGAGAATCCTTGATAAGGAGGTGCGGCTGGAGATAGTGAAGACCCATCAGCAGGCAGCAGATATTTTCACTAAGCGTCTGGCGGAGGCGGATCATTGGAAGGGCATGAAGCTTGCTGGGATGAGTGTGCATTGAGTATGCATGCTTGAGATGTGGTATGGTCGATGATGGTTGGCAGCCAGAGGGGGAGATTGTTGTGTGATGTCATCATATGCTATCACATTCTGTCTGCCTCTCATCTCTTGTTTCAATTCGTATGTATGGTTTGACTGTGTGTGAAAGAATTTGTGTGTGGTGTGTTCTGGAGTTTGGGAATGTGTTTTGTGTTATTCTGTCTGAGCAGGTATTTGTGATGATAGATCTTGAGAAGATCTTTCCGACGCAACAAGAATCGCTTCAATCGGAGCAAGAACGCGAAAGCTATGAAGATTCAAAGTTCATGAGCTTGCGTTACAATTGCGGCGGTTACAAAGTGAAGTTGTGGGGTGACTTTATATGGAGTTGGGACCTTTGGGGTTGGGGAAACTTGTCACTCTACTGTAACAGCTGCAAATTGGTTGGGAACAACCAAGCTAGGTTGGCAAGGGTGGCCAACTTGGATGGATTGGTTGGGAAGGGACAAAGGTCAAAGTTGAGGTTCCTATAGGGAGGGAATCTTTGTGCTTATGGGGTTTCCTTGGTTGGGGACTCTCTTGGGACCTTCCCTCTCATCCTTCTCTTCCTATCCCAACCTTTCTCTTGCTCCTTCTAATTCCTTGTGAGATTCTTGAACTTTGATTGAACCTTTTGAGATTGAGTTAAGTTCTCCTCCTACAGCTTACCCCCTAGTGCGTCGAAAGCCATAGCGTCGCGAATACTTCATTAATCAACGTGATTCAAATTGGGAACGGTAGCTGAGATTAAGAGCTACAACATATCCAAGTTTCGCGACATTCCAACGGCTAGTTTTTTGTCGACGTCGTTTCTTGTGAAGACGACTTTTCTGTCCAGAATTTCGGATTTATATTTTGAGTAATTCTAGCTCCTAAGTTCACCTAGACTCCGTCCTTAATTCTAACAAAAACGACCGCTTGTTTAACCTTGCCTGGCACTCCTGTGGCACCACCGTTTAGGTCACCCTATTCTTCCGCATAAGCGTCATTTGATACAGCACGGTCTAGTGTCTGGTCTCCCCACGTCGCTCTCCACCCTCCTCGCCTAGGTAGCGGCCACGTGCACTTCCTTCATCGAGGGCTGGCAGCGCACCGCCCCTCACTCCTCCTTGTTTCCTCCGACCACTGCACCACAGCAGACGCTGCACTTGGACTTCTGGGGCTTCGCCCCGATCCATGGACCTCACATGGAGCTTGCCCTTCCAGGTTGTTGTCGATGACTTCTCGCGGTTCACCACGATGTTTCTGTTGGACCCGAAGGCCGACGTGACTGACACCCTCCTCTTGTGGCTCCACCCCGTGCGCACCCAGCGATCCCTGCCCGTGTTCTGCCTTCACTCCGACCGTGGTGACGAGTTCGCCTCCGGTCGTCTTGGCGTGTTCTAATATGTGGAGGGCATTATCCAGACATTCACCCTTCCGGACTCGCCATGGCTAAATGGGGTAGCTGAGCTCCGTATTGGGCAGGTCATGGAGGTGGCTCGCACCTCCATGCTGCATGCTAGTGATGGAAATCGTGCAAATCTGGAGAGAATTAATTTGAGATTAAGTCTGACGACCTCAACGGAACATTGCGTACAGCTCAGGTAACTTCTAGAAATGAGCTTATACGCGTTGGAAAGGTCTTAATCTCTACTTTCCAGAATGGTAAAGCACGTTCATAACCAAGATTGGAGCCGCCGATTATGACGAAATCAGTGTGAGGAGATATTCTGGTAATTTGGCTAGGCAGCCATGAATGACCTAGTCAAAACGAGAGGGGCAGCAGTTAGATCTGGAAAAGTTCGAGAATGAGATTGTCAAACACCACCAACCCTCGCCCTGGACCAAACCCTAAGACTTCCAAGTGCCACATCTGCAACATCAAAGATGTTGTAGTGGGTTTGGGGTTGTATGGGTTGGAAAGGTAACGAGATCAAACCTAGCCAACCAACCCACATCTTTTGCCCAAATCCCAATAGCCCACAACCAGCTAGAGCAAACTACACCACAGAACACTACACATTTATCACTCCCCCTTGCTCGTGCTGGGTGTGGCTCAACACCATAGGGCAAAAGACTTCACACCACTCCCCCTTGCCCATGGGTTGGGGCCACCCAGAGCATGGAGTCCGCCAAGGAGAGGAGCACCAAGACGCCGGCATCTGCTGCGGGAACTCTGTCATCATGGGGCTGCATCCCGAGCAAGGTCATGCACACACCATGACGCTCAAATGGAAGAGACTTGGTAAGAATATCAGCAGCCTGACGGTTGGTGGGGCACCACTGCAAAATCACCTCACCCGCAGCTACCATCTCCCGAATGAAATGCCACCGGACCTGCATGTGTTTGGTGCGGCCATGCAAGCATGCATTTTGTGCAAGGGCAATGGCAGACTGATTATCCACAAACACAGGCACACCACCAGCATGATCATGGCCAAACTCCCCAAACAAACGCCTCAGCCAGACACCCTCCTGAATGCACTGACACAGACTTATATACTCACTCTCAGTGGTAGAGAGTGCTACCACGGGCTGCCTCTTGCTCTGCCAAGAGATAGCTGCCCCATTCAGACAGAACACATACCCACTGTGGCTCCTGCGACTTGCGGAATCTCCAGCATAGTCAGCATCACTGAAGCCAACTAGCTGGACCTGAGACTGGGGCTGTGTTTGGAAGAAGATACCTGACTTGACACCACCTTTCAGGTACCTCAGCACTCTCTTAGCGGCCTGCAAGTGAAACATTTTAGGACAAGAGGCGACCTTAGATAGCTGTGAGACTGCAAAGGCAATCTGTGGCTGTGTGGTAGTACAAGCATACATGAGGGATCCCACAATGCTTTGGTAGAGCTTGACCAGCTCATCTCGCAGCAAGGGTTCATCCTCATAGGCATGCACATCAAAGCCTGTTGGGAGAGGAGTACGCACGGGGTTGGCCTCTGAGAGACCAAAGGACTGAAGCATGTTAAGAATGTACCTCTCTTGATGAATCAAGATACCACTCTCATCACGCTCAATTTGCATTCCCAAGTAGTACTTCACCTCCCCCAAGTCCTTCATGGGAAAACGCGAGGACAAGAAGTATTTCACTCGATCTAGCAAAGCCTTGCTAGAGCATAGGAGCAAAAGGTCATCCACATAGAGGAATAAGGAGATCCGCTCCTCATCTCTCACAAAGTGGTACAAGGCAGGGTCACACTCAGATCTCTCAAACCCAAAATCCATGAGAGCCTCATCAAATTTTAGGTACCACTGTCGTGGGGCTTGCTTTAGCCCATAAATGGACTTTTTGAGGCGACACACTCGGTGAGACCCATCATCAAAACCAGGGGGCTGCCGCATGTAAAGCTCTTCCTCCAAATCCCCATGGAGGAAGGCTGTCTTGACATCCATATGATGGATATCAAGCCCCAAAGCAGCTGAAATTCCAAGCATACCTCTCAAGGTCGCATGCTTCCCAACTGGAGAGTACACTTCTTCATAGTGTACTCCCGATTTCTGCGTGTTTCCCATCACCACCAATCTGGACTTAGGCCTCTCAATGGTACCATCAGGGTTATGCTTGTATTTCCAAACCCATTGACACCTGAGGACCTCCAAACCAGGTGGTACCACGGCTGGATCAACCAGCTCAAATGATCCATTTACCTTGTGAGACTCAAGCTCCTCATGCATAGACTCAACCCATTCGGGACGGTTCAGCGCCTCATGGACTGACCTAGGCTCATGCACCTGACCCATTAGACACACATCAAGAGCATACTCATGCCCATGCATGTCCACAAGCATGCAATCATCCAAATCAGACACAAGATGATCATGCATGCGTGCAATGTGCCCCGGTGAAAACCTTTCAGGTGGCTGGGAAATTCGAGCACTGCGTCGCAGAGGTGTTGCCTCTCCTTCTTCCAGCCTCCGCAGCTTCTCCTCCCAAGTCACCCTCTTCATTGGAGTCCTTGGAGTCTTGGACAGCTGCTGGTTCAACAACTGCTGCCAACTGCTTCTCGATGGAGTTGAAGGCACATGCTGCTCCGGCTGGTCATCACGCGCATCGGCCTGCGTGGCTGGCTGAGGGGTAGAATCTGTCTCTCGGGACTCCTCATGGTTAGGATCAGCTGGTTCTGGCTCCTCCTGCTGCTCCTCCCCTTCATCTCCAGGGTCCTCCCATGCCCCCTCAAAGATAGAAGCCGTATGAGGGTCTTGAATGGAAGTCCTACTTTGGCTTGTACCATGCTCCTTCCACCCGTTAAAATTCAGCCCCTCATGGAAAACCACATCACGGCTCTCCATCACACGCTGGTCAGCTACACTCCACAGCACCCAAGCCTTGCTCCTCTCAAAAACCCCAAGGAAGATCCCCCACTGTGCCTTAGGATCTAGCTTCCTCCTTTGCTGGTCAGGTACCTTATACTGTGCCATGCACCCCCACACTCGTGCCATGGAAACATTCGGCACCTTCCCTGTCCATAAGGAGTATGGGCTCTTGCCTCCAAGCCCCTTGCTGCCCATCCTGTTCTTCACCCAGTTGGCATACTGCACTGCTGCCCCCCACCAAGTGTTATCAAGCTCGGCATGAGAAAGGGTGGCCCGAGCCAAATCGGTCAAGGTCCTGTTAAGCCGCTCCGCTGCCCCATTTTGCTGCGGCGTGTAAGGTACAGAGAGCTGGTGGGTAATACCCTTTTCTTCCAAGAAGGTTTGAAGTTCTTTCCCAAGGTACTCTCCACCCCGATCTGACCTTAACACCTTCACCTTGGCCCCTGACTCCCTCTCCACATAACGTATCCACCGCCTAAACACCTTTGCCACCTCATCCTTGGTCTTCACCAAGATGACCCAGCTAAGTCGACTGAAGTCATCAAGAAAGGTGACAAAGTATCTGCTGCCCTTTTCCCGGTCAGGAGTTTGCATCGGTCCACACACATCCGTGTGCACCAGCTCAAGGGGAGTCGAGGCATGATCAGAGGAGATAGGGAATGAGGTTCTAGGCAGCTTTCCAGACGTGCAGTCGGGACATTTGCTCTGCTGCCCAGCTCCTTCCTTGACCTCCACCCCCTTCAGCTCCCCCTTCTTCACACACTCCAGCAGTTGCTGCTTCCCCGCGTGCCCCATGCGAAGGTGTAGCAACTCAGGTGACACCGTTTCCACCTGCCTCCAGCGAGTGCTACAAGCGGCTTCCTCAGAAAAAACCATATGTGCCTTGTAACAATTAGGCACACAAGCTGGAACAAGGTATGAACCCTTTTCCAGCTTTGCCTCCATCACCACAGCTTCACCCTTTCTAACAGTACACCCTCCCTTAGTGAAAGTGCAGATGTATCCCTGTTTAGCCAGCTGCGAGCATGAAAGGAGGTTTGCAGCCAAACCAGGGACGTGAAGGACCCCCTTCACACCCACTAGCTCCCCCTCCTTCCCCTTAATGGTGATCGTGCCGATGCCAATTGCTTGCAGCAAATCTCCGCTCCCAACAATCACGTTCCTCGAATTTGGTGGGAGAGGATGGTAGGAGGTGAAGAGATCACGGCGAGGAAGCATCCCAGATGTTGCTCCAGAGTCTAGAACCAGGAAGTTGGGATCAGCCAATGCACGACCAGCGAGAGCTGCATCCTGCCCTAGCATGAGAAACGAGAAACCATCATCGGAGGAGTCGTCTTGGCCCTTCCCCTTCTCATCCTTAGCAGCTGCGGCCGTTGCTCCCTTGCTGCCCTTCTTATTCCAGAGCCCCTTCTTCATCCTTTTCTCCACCCAATCAGGTTTGGTCACTGGTGGGGCCTCTCTAGAGTAGCCGTGAGGCTTCCATCCCTCAGGCCTACTCCAGCAACTCTTCCAAGAGTGTTTTTTGTTGCATCCGGGCACAAGGCATTTGTCCAACTCTTTCTTCTTCCCCCCACCTCCTTGCTGTTGATAGCCTTTCCTGAAGGAAGCTTTATCTGCTGCACCCATGCCTCCTTCTAGACCTCTTCCAGCATCAACCTTGCAAGCCTCATCAGAAATTAGAACCTCCCAAATCCACACCTTGGTCCATTTCTGTTGCTCGAGGTGAAGGTACTGTAGTAATGCCTCATTAGCCGCTTGATCCAACCCTTGGAGCGCAGTATAGATGATCTCCTTCTCATCTACCGTGTAATCCAGCTCCTCCAAAGCCTGCACATTCTCATCCACCCTCTGGAGATACTGAACCATGGTCTCCCCCTCCCCATAGTTCCGCTCCATGGTGTAAAACCGCTTCCGCCAAGTAAGCACGCTTAGAAGCCCTTTCTGCAAGTGCCTATCTTGTACTCTTTTCCAAGCTGCAGCCGCTGCACCTTCCTTCCCCTTCAGGTCAATCATCATCTTAAGAAGCTCAAGTTGCCCCTCCAAAGCCCAACACAGGTACTGAAAAGCCTGGCGATCCTTCCGATCCCATGCTTCTTGAGCTTTGAGCAACTCCTCGCTACTTGGTTGCGACCTTCCGGTTCGAGTTGCAGCAGTTCCTCCTTCCTTCACCCCACTCAACGATGCTCCCCCAGCCCCAGATCCCACTTGGCTGGTTGCTCCAGTAGACGCCTCCCCAGAGTCAGCTCGTGGTCGCTTCTCCGATCCATCCAACACACTTTCTAGGTCCTTAATACCTAGCCATAGTGTGAACTGGAACCTCCATAGCGAAAAGTCCGAGCCGGTAAACCTAGGAGGGCCATCCAACTTTTGGGCCATATCAAACCCTAGATCTGGAGCACTTCGAGCCTCTCTAGATCTCTTCCAATGGAGGAAAGAACGTCCTCTAACCGTGGCTCTGATACCACTGATGGAAATCGTGCAAATCTGGAGAGAATTAATTTGAGATTAAGTCTGACGACCTCAACGGAACATTGCGTACAGCTCAGGTAACTTCTAGAAATGAGCTTATACGCGTTGGAAAGGTCTTAATCTCTACTTTCCAGAATGGTAAAGCACGTTCATAACCAAGATTGGAGCCGCCGATTATGACGAAATCAGTGTGAGGAGATATTCTGGTAATTTGGCTAGGCAGCCATGAATGACCTAGTCAAAACGAGAGGGGCAGCAGTTAGATCTGGAAAAGTTCGAGAATGAGATTGTCAAACACCACCAACCCTCGCCCTGGACCAAACCCTAACACTTCCAAGTGCCACATCTGCAACATCGAAGATGTTGTAGTGGGTTTGGGGTTGTATGGGTTGGAAAGGTAACGAGATCAAACCTAGCCAAGCAACCCACATCTTTTGCCCAAATCCCAATAGCCCACAACCAGCTAGAGCAAACTACACCACAGAACACTACACATTTATCAGCTGGTGCCCCCCATTTTCTGTGGCCGTTCGCGGTGAGGTACGCAGCTCACCAGCTTAACCTGTGGCCTCGCTCCTCGCGGCCACAGGTTTTGCCGACCAATCTCTGAAGTGGGTCCCCAGGTGAAGCGTCTGTGTCTCACATCTAGGGTTGCCTAGCTTACATCCGCAACACCTGCCCAGACAAGATCTCGGCCCGCACACTCTTTTTTGTCTTCCTCGGGTTCCCGCTCGGTGCACCTCAAAGGCTGTTCTACCACCCAGTGCAGCACCACTTCTTTCACTCACCCTACATTATGTCTGACGAGTCTGTCTCATTCGACTGTCCCTTCCCTCATCGTGGTACTCGTCTTCAGCCTCCCCCTCTCTTTTGCACCCCTCCTCCACCTGCTGCTCCCTTCCCACCCCGCCCAGCCCCGTCTGGTGTCTCCCACACCACTTCCCTCCCCTCGGTTGGGCTGGTGGGGGAGTGTACTGACTCGAGGAGCCCCGTGGCTGGGGGTGTGCCTATCGTAGTTATGGCGCCTCTCCCACCAGCTCCGGTTCTCGAGGCACCTCCGCAGCCTCCCCCATTGCCGACGCAGCAGTAGCAGCAGCAACAACAGCAATTGTAGCAGTAGTAGGGACGGGGGATTGTTGGCCCTGCGGGTGGTGACATTGGGGGTGCTGGTTCTGGGGGTGCTTGTCCTGGGGGTGCTGACTTGGAGAGTACTGGTAGTAGCACTGGTGGAGCTGGGGGTACTAGCATGGATCGGGAAAAGCAACATCGCCTGTAGTCTTCCCTTTGTCTCCTTGGCCTTTCCTCCGATTCCCCTGACTGCCAGCTCGTCCCTCCCACAGCGCCTCCCCTCCCGCTTGCCTCCATCTACGACCCGCTGTTCCCTCCCCCAGAATCGTCTCCGACCAGTTTCCCCTCTCGTTCTCCTCCATCCCTTGTCCCGTCCCCTGTTGCCCACCCGCGAATGGATCGTCTCCCAGGTGGTCGACCTGTCTCCCCGTGCTAGTGTCCATCATATGGTCCTTTGTTCTCGTGCTCCTCCAGTCCTCGTCCTTCCACTCCCCCCCTAGTCATCTCGACCCCTTTCCTCTACTCCTCCTTCTAATTCTGCTCGCACTTCTTGTCCAGTCATCTCCCACTTGCTTGCCTCGCTTGTCAATGACCCTACCGCTCCTCATGCTGGTGTCTCTGTCCGTATCGCTGCTGTCGCTGACTTTGCAGCGAGCCACCGCCTTGACTATGCCTCCGCTATGGTCTCTGACCCTGCCTATGCTCCGTCCGTCGGGAGTGCACCTGCCCTTGGCGGTGACATTTTAGAGGATAGGCAATACGAGCTTGCTTTCCTTGCAACTGCTGTACCTCATCTTTGCGCCATGCTTGCGTCCCCTGAGGGTGACTAGGATGCCATGAACACCCCTACCATGCGCTCGTATGCTGAGGCCATCTCGGTTGCCTGGGCAGCCCAGTGGATTTATGCGATGGAGGCAACGATTGCATTTTATAGATCCACCGGCACTTACATCGACGCAGTTCCTCCACCTGGGGCGAACATAGTCGATGGCATGTGCATCAATAACGTGCAGCATCCGCCTGGAGAGCCGCCGCCGTTCAAGGTGTGGTATGTGGCCAAAGGCTTTGGTCAGCGAGAGGGTGTGGACTTCTTCCAGACCTTCTCCCCCACCCCGCAGATGACTACTCTTCGTGTGCTCCTCCACATAGCCGCACAGCGTGAATACAAGCTCCACTCTCTAAACTTCTCGCCAGCCTTTCTGCAGGGCAGCCTACACGAGCAGATCTTCTTGCGGTGCCCACCAGACTTCACCGGTGCCGCCCTGTCTTCGATTTGCGCCAGGCGCCCTGTGAGTGGCACGACACGCTCCTCACTACCCTTGCGGCTCTCCACTTCTTCCTGTCCTCTGCTGACCCCTCACTCTTTGCTTGTGCTGGTCAGACCCCCTTCAACATACTTGTGTACGTAGACAACCTTATATTTATTACACTAGATAGAGTTGCACTAGCCTTAGTCAAGGCTGAGCTGCTCAGGCGACATGCCTGTACAGACCTGGGAGGGCGCTATCTCGGCTTGGAGATCTTTTGTAACCGTGCAGCGCGCACAGTCAAATTTTCCTTGTCAAATTTTCATGGTGCAGCAGATCCTCCAGAGGCTCGACCTTAAGTTCTCGCCGACGCAGCCCACTCCTCTGCCTGTGGACCACAAGCTCTCAACTTCTGTTACTGGTGAGCAGGTCGAGCCTAGTGGTCCATGATCTAGCACCATAATGCAGAGATGGTAGGATGCCTCATGTAGTTGATGTCTTGCACTCGCCCATATCTAGCATGCCCTCTCAGTATCCTTGTTCACTTCGTTGCGACTGCCAGGCACCGACCAGGGCACTAGTCGGCTGCCAAGAGGGTGTTGCGGTATCTGGCGAGTACATCAGGACTGGGACTTGTGCTGGGAGGACGGGAGCCAGTGGTCCACACTGGACACACAGACACGTCGTGGGCGGACGACTTAGAGACGCTCAGGTTCTGATAAGGTTACTGCTTTAGCCTTGGTGTGGGTGCAGTCTCGTGGCGGTCCACTTGGTCGTTGTCAGTAGCTCAGTCCAGTTGTGAGGCAGAGTTTTATGCTGGTTCTATGGCAGCTCAGGAGATTCGCTAGGTGACGTCCTTGCTCACTGACTTAGCTGAGGGGTCTAGGTCTGCCTCGGTCCTGTTTGCTAATAACGGGGCCATGATCCTCCCGTATCAAGAGGTTCGACTTGAGGGCAGGGAAAAGCACATCCAGCTACGGTACTTCCTGCTGTGTGAGTTGCCGCAGCACGGCCAGGACCGCTTAGTACAGCTGGCCTCAGAGGTCAACATTGCTGATATCATCACCAAGGCCCTCGTAACCATCAGCGGTTTTGCACTCAACTTGGTCTAGTCCCTGTTGCCTCACACTTGCTTGTATCCTTATCTATTCTATACCAGCTTTGCATGTACTTGTCCATGCCTGTTGTCTTGTTACATTTTCTGACTGGCCTTCAGGCCCCTGTCTTAGTGGCCCTTGAGCTGTCTTGTCACATCATTCAGTGGCTAGCCTAGTAATGCTGCCCTGGCTTGTTGTGAGTTGCTAGACTCAGCCCCTATCCATGCTAGGGGGTGTGTTAATATTCATACTATATATATGCTAGGTATATATTCTCGAAAGCCTAGCTAGAGGCAGATTTTTTGGGGTATACCACTTATTTAGGAACTCCTTGTTTTGCATGTCCTGGTCAATCCATTCTCCCCTCACGACAACTGCAAGGTTGACATGAGCAATACCATCCGAGTTGCGCTAGACCAATTGCTCATAAATTCTGTACTCTGTTTGGTCTAGTCCTAGCTGTCTCTCCCTTGCTTGTATCCTGATCTGTTCCATACCAGTTTTGTACTTGCTACTCTATAGTGTCTATTTTATTACATTTTTATATATAAAGAATATATACAAACTATAGCCTAGCTAGATATAATTTGTATAGGGTACAAACAACGCATAGATACAAACTATATTGTTGCCCATGCTCTATTGAACCGTTCTCTCTCGCGATACAAGTGTATTTGTCTATACAAAATAATTTAAGGGACAAACACGTTGATGTCGAAAATAATATCTAACAAAGACTCGACTGTTGGATGGGTTGCGCAGTAACGTTACGCCCAACTTAGAAAACCGGTTGTCTAAATAGTTCATGTACAAACCTGCAGTCAAAGTGATGTGTCGTATTGTCAAACATTTAATGAGTACCATATTTATATAAATAAATATTATGCATCAATGATATCCTAATAAAATACACTTGGATATCTTCTAGCTTGATACTTAAAAAAATATCATTTCTCTAAATTAGGAATACAGTACAAGATCACCTTCAATCGTAGTTGCTTCTGAGGGGCCGAGGTTTGGGATTACCTTACCCCTTCCGAGCCTTCTAGGGCGGTTGGATGAGCATGCAAGGGTTTGTCCAGATACACCTCACCCTATTTGCAGAGCTGTCATGTATACGGCTGAGAGCGAGGACCTTGTCCTTCGCCGGATGTGCAGATATCCATTTGCGTTGCCCATTCTCCTCCCCTGCTGACCCCTTCTTCCTCCTGCTCGCCTGGTAAACACTTACTGTACATGGCGATTAAAATCCACATTGACGTTGTGCTCTCCTCGACTATAGTTTCCCTCCTCTGAAAACTGCTTCACACATGTCTAACCAAATTGTGTGCAAGGTCACTGCTGTCAATGTCGACTTTGGAAAGCGTGACCGAGTTCCATCTTGTGAGAACAGCACGTCTTCGAGCGATGCCACCTGTCTGCTGGGGTTGAGGATGGTTAGTGCTTCTTAAGTGCCCCCACCACTGGCTGGACTCTCTCACATTCGTAGAGGCAATGGGAGAGTGTCTCTTCTCCTCCACAATGTGGGCACTTCACCTCCTTGCCCATAAATTTAAGCCCCTCCCCTACTTGAAGATTTCTATTATGTAGGCATACTAACAGATCTCTGGCCCGTAGGGGTATAGTCGTGGAATCTTGCACCTCAAATATTCTCTAATCTTAGTCGTTGCTCCAACTATCTCTACTACCTCAAGTTTTTTCAGCACTCCTTATACCACAATTGCGGTGCTGCTTCAAATGCATTCAGAGCCATTGCCGCCACCGCCTTTCTCTTCAACTCTTTCTCTAGCAAAACCTTTCCCTTCAGCTCCCTCGACCCATCCGCATGTCTAACAAGTAGATCTCCCAGCCTCAGGCCTTTTAGTCCTTCTGGTTACCAAATGGGGACTATCCCCTGAACAGAATGTGTTTGTTGAAATAGTTGCTCCATCTCCATTTCCCACCTCGTCTTTGTCTCTGCTACCTTGGGGACTTCTCCCGATATGCGTGACGCACAGATCTGCTTCCATCTCATAACCCCCTCTCCCCATTTCTTGAGCAGATGCAGATGATCATAATAGAACCAACCTAATAGAAGCATCGCCGCTTGCTCTGTCAGCTCCCGACAAATTGGACACGTCCCTAGCAAGGCTGCACCAGCGCACCTCCTGGCAAGGTTATCAACCCTCCCCCTCGGGTCAACCACCCCCAAACCGCCGTGTTTTCTTGGTGTGCAGATCAGCTTCCAACTGCAGAGAATAAAGTGCCTTTCCACGTCTACCTTATTCCATGAAACATAATTCTGACTTAGCCTCTCCACCTTTTTCCAAACTTCTTCAGGCGGTGGGTAGATTTGAGCTTGGAACAGTAAGATTGGCATCACATAGCTGTTCAAGATCGCCACCCGCGTCGTGAGGAATTTGGGCTGCCACTTTCCAATTCACCTTTCACCCCCTCAAAGGCTTTCCTCCACGTCAGATCTGCACCACCACCACAAAGTCCACCAGCAGCAAATACCAATCTTATTTCTATTCCTCGCTGCTTCAATAATATCAGCGACAGTCGCTACCGCATCCGAGAGCCGTCTTCTAGGTAGAATCCAAATTGATCCCTAGAGATCACCTTGTGTATGATGCCTGTCACTCTATGAGCCACCACCTTTGCTCGGACTTTGTAGGAGTTGTTAAGTAGAGTTATAGGTCTATAATTTTTATGAAGCAGAATAGTGGCCGCCTCCCCCACCTGTTGAGGTAAGCCGCCACCAGACTCAAAACTCCTCACCAGCTTCATGAAGCTGCCTTGAAAGGAGGACCAATGCGCCGCATCCCTTATGCCTTCATTCTCCTTGCCTGCATGGCCCGCATTCCCTTTCCTCTATTTGTCTGCGCTCGCCTTCTCTGTTCTCCCTCCTCTGCGCATCCTCCCTGTGTTCTCCCCTATCTATTCTTCCTCCCTCTGTTGTCCCCCCTGGTTTTTTTCTCCTGTTCTCCCTCCTTCACTTTCACCCCCCTTCATTCTCTCTCCCTCCATTCTTCCTTCCTTTACCTTCCTCCCTCTCTTTTCCCCTATCCCGTTATTCATCCCTCTCTCTTCCCCCCTCCGTTCTTCCTCCTTCTGCCTCCTCCCCCCTCTGTCCTTCTTCCTGTCCGTTCACCTTCCCTCAGTCCTTCGCGCGTGGTACTTCCCCGTCGTGTCTCCCTTCTATGTTTCCCCTTCTTCCCCCCCTCCCTCTACTCCCCCTCCCTCTTGTTTGAAACTCCCCCTTCTCTTCCACCCCTCTGTTCTTCCCTCCTTCCGCTCTTCCTCCCTCTGTTCCTACTCCCTCTGTTCTTCCTCCCTCTGTTCTTACTCCCTCTGTTCTTACTCCCACTATTCTTCCTCCCTCTGTTCTTACTCCCTCTGTTCTTCCTACCTCTGTTCTTCCTCCTGTTATTACTCCCTTTGTTCTTACTCCCTCTGTTCTTACTCGCTCTGTTCTTACTCCCTCTGTCCTTACTCCCTCTGTTCTTCCTCCCTCTGTTCTTTCTCCCTCCATTCTTCCTCCTTCCGCTCTTCCTCCCTATGTTCTTACTCCCTCTGTTCTTACTCCCTCTCTTCTTACTCCCTCTGTTCTTACTCCCTCTGTTCTTACTCCCTCTGTTCTTCCTCCCTCCGTTCTTCCTCCTTCCGCTCTTCCTCCCTCTATTCTTACTCCCTCTGTTTTTACTCCCTCTGTTCTTACTCCCTCTGTTCTTCCTCCCTCTGTTCTTACTCCCTCTGTTCTTACTCCCTCTGTTCTTACTCCCTCTGTTCTTCCTCCCTCTGTTCTTCCTCCCTCTGTTCTTACTCCTTCCGCTCTTCCTCCCTCTGTTCTTCTCCTTTTGCTCTTCCTCCCTCTGTTCTTCCTCCCTCTGATATTTCTCCCTCTATTCTTCCTCCCTCTGTTCTTACTCCTTCCGCTCTTCCTCCCTCTGTTCATGCTCCCCCTGTTCTTCCTCCTTCCGCTCTTCCTCCCTCTGTTCTTACTCCCTCTGTTCTTCCTCCTTCCATTCTTCCTCCCTCTGTTCTTACTCCCTCTGTTCTTCCTCCCTCTGTTCTCCCTCCCTCTGTTCTTCCTCCCTCTGTTCTGCCTCCCTCTGTTCTTCCTCCCTCTGTTCCTCCCCCCTCTGTTCGTACTCCCTCTGTTCTTCCTTCCTCTATTCTTCCTCCCTCTGTTCTTACTCCCTCTGTTCTTCCTCCCTCTGTTCTTCCTCCCTCTGTTCTTCCTCCCTCTGTTCTTCCCCCCTCTGTTCTTCCTCCCTCTGTTCTTCCTCCTTCTGTTATTACTCCCTTTGTTCTTACTCCCTCTGTTCTTACTCGCTCTGTTCTTACTCCCTCTGTTCTTACTCCATCTGTTCTTCCTCCCTCTTTTCTTCCTTCTTCCACTCTTCTTCCCTCTTTTCTTCCTCTTTCTATTCTCGTCCTTCGTTGTCCCTCCTCTGTTCTCCTCCCTCCGTGTTCGCCCCACTGCTATATGTTGCCTGACTATTTTTGTTTTTGCCTTTTTGCTTGCCTCTTGCTTCTCCTCTGCACTTTATTCTCTCTTCTGCAGTTTCTTCTTATCCCTATCCGCCATAGGTATCGTCTCTGCTATTCCATATTTTCCTCTTATTTATTTTCTCCCTCGTTTATCACTCTAGTTTCTGTTTGGCTGCTAGTGCCTCAATTTCCTCCCTGTTTTTATCCCCCCCTGTGTTGTTCTCTCCAAACAGGTCATCACATGTTAGGTCGTCACATTCGAAAAGCATTCCAAGCTTTCAGAATTCAATTCACCACGCTCCAAGTCTCCGTATTCCGAATTCTGGTCTTGTTTGCAATGATTGATGGATATTTGAACTTGGCCATTGGTTGCATGCTATCTAATATTCCCGGGCTTCTCCCGAATGCACTTGCTCATTGTGTATCTATGCATCGGTCTGTGATGTGTTGTGATAAAATCGTACTTAAGCATTTCTGTAAGTAGTTCCGATAAATATTGTCAAGTTACACTGTAGCTAGCATCCTTAGAATGATGTCAGCAAATAGGGCTTGTCTGGATGGTAATGTCAGCAGGCCATTTCAGTCATGTGAACAGTCGCGCTCCTTTCAGTAGCGATTAGAGCGCATAGCGCAAATAGTTTTGAACATGTACATTACCGAACAAGTACTTCTAGCAGATATAACAGTAGCTTGTATGACTTCAGTTATTAACTTGTTCTTGAGTAAATTCAAGTCAACAGTTACAAGTTCTAAGACTTCTGCTGTCTTATTAGTCTACCATCCCAGCAAAGATCCTTGTTCAAAGTCTTGAAGTATCGCAAGGCTGTAATACTGCTTTGGTGTTACAACTTGTTAATACTGGCTGTTACTGGAGGTACTCCCAGTATTACTTTCTACTTCAAGTACTTGTGTCTGCAGCTTCTATACTTAGTCTCCTGTGTCAACTTATACATATGCTAGTATGTAGAAGTTATAGGCTAGATAGGTGTTTGTTCTTAGAGAGTACAACTCCAACCCTATACCTTGCTTGTTCTCTCTTGTTACTAGTCATTCTAGTATCCTGACATGGTATCATGCGTATGTTAGGTCCCCCCCACCCGCTTCCGCCCCGCGCCCTAGCCTACCGCGCCTCGCCGGCCCCTAGCGTGCCCGCCGTCCCCTCGCGCCGTAGCCGGCCCCTAGCGTGCCCGTCGGCCGCTCGCGCCCTAGACGGCCCCTTGCCCCCTAGCCGGCCCTTTGTGCCCAGCCGGCCCCTTCGCGACCAGCCGGCCCGCCCCTCGCGCCGTCGCCAGCCCCTCGCGCCTTCGCTGGCCCCTCACGCCTTTGCTGGCCCCTCGTGCCCTAGCTGGCCCCTCGCGTCGTCGCCCGCCCCTAGAGCCCAGCCAGCCCCTTCGCGACCAGCCGGCCCGCCCCTCGCGCCCCCTCGCGCCTTTGCTGGCCCCTCGTGCCCGAGCTGGCCCCTCACACAGCCGGCCCGCCCCTCGTGCCTAGCCGACCCCTCGCGCCTTCGTTGGCCCCTCGCGGCCTAGCTGGCCCCTCGCGCAGTCGCCCGCCCCTCGTGCCATCGCTGCCCCCCCCTCGCGCCTAACCGGCCCCTCGCGCCCTAGCTGGCCCCTCCCGCCTCACCGGGACCTCGCGCCTGACCGGCCCCTCGCACCCTAGCTGGCCCCTCGTGCCTTGCCGGCCCCTCGTGCCTAGCCAGCCCCTCGTGCCTAGTCGGTCCCTTGCACCCGGCCGGCCCCTATCACCTAGCCGGCCCCTACCGCCAAACCGGCCCCTACCACCTAGCTGGCCCCCACCGCCTCACCGGCCCCTACCACCTAGCCGGCCCCTCTCCTGCGCACCACAGGCCCCACGCGCCCTGCTGGCCCCTCTCTGCATGCTGGCCTCTTGTGCGCCTCGACTCCTCGCGTGCCCTCCTCGGCCTTCTTTCGGTTCAGTTCCGGAGAGTCCTGTGCCGCTCAGTCCCTGTGCTGCTGAGTCCTTGTACTGCTGTGCCCCTGTGTCCCTGTGCCGCTGTGCCGCTGTGTCTTGGTGCCACTGTGGTTGAGCGATGGCGGACGCCATGCTCCGTCTGGACGCGGAGGGACACGCAATTGACTTCGCCGCCTGGCTTGTCGATCTCCGCCGGCACCTGACAGGTCAGCGCTAGGATGGGCACTCCCTGGCTATGCATGTTGATGGCTTGCTTCCCCGCCCTCCTGTGCCTGATCCCCTCCCTGCTAACCCCACCACTGCTAAGAGTGAGGCCTTTGCTACTGCTGCGCTCGCTCGCGTGGCCTAGGATTCTCGCGATGCTGTAGCGCAGCTTGCCATTAGTCATGCGCTTCCCTTGTCTGAGTGTTCGCGTTTCACTACTGTCACGAACGCCAAGGATTTCCTAGATGATGTAGTTGACCGCTACTCCACGCCTGCCTCCGCCTCAACAGGACACTTGTTCCTCCCCATGCTCTTCCCCGATCTCTCTGCTTTCCCCACTGTCGCTAATCTCGCCACTCACTTCCGTGCACTAGAGCCTAGCTATCGCGCTGCTAGCACTACTGCCCAGCTCACTGCCTTCCCCCCGCCATTCTGCGCTACGCTGTACCTTATTGCCATCCACCTGCCTGACCGCTTGGCACCTGCCTGACCGCTTGGCCACTGCCCGCGACCACTTCCTTAGCCAGCACCCTGGTGACCTCACCTTGACCGCTTTTGTCGCTACCCTTTCTGAGATAGAGACTCGCTAGCGCACTATCACTCAGTCGAGCGGTATTGCGGCAGTCCCTATCTTTCAGGGCTGTGCTCCCTCCCAGTGCACGTACACTGACGTTTCCGCTGCGGTCACTACTGCTGCTCCTGCCACTGAGACAGCTGCAGCGGCCTTTCCGCAGCAGCAGCGATAGCATCGGGGTCGTCGCGGCCCCAAGGGAGGGCGTGGTGGTGGTGGCGGCGACAGTGGTTTTGACGAGGGGGCTGGGGCAGGTGTCCAGGAGCAGCAGCACCCGCAGCCGTCGCAGCAGCAGCCGCAGCTGCAGCAGCCGCCGCAGCAGCCGTGGGACCGCCTCCCGCCGAGGTGGCCGGGAACCCCTAGAGGGGGTGGCCGAGGTGGCGGTCCTCGCAGCTCGGTTTCCCCTCCCCTGTTTCTGGTCCCCACTCCCCCGGTAGCCCCTGCTCACCCTCCTCCCCGTCCTGCTCCATCTGGTGTGTCTCACTTCAATCCCCTCCCGTTGGTTGTCCCGGTCGAGGAGTCGGCTGACTCCGGAGGCCCTGCGGCTCAATTTTTGCCGCCCGTCTTTCCCCCGGTGTCTCCTCCTCCGTCCTCGCAGCCGCCGCCGCCGCCGCTGTCGTAGCAGCAGCAACTGTTCATGGACTCTGGGGGTGCTGGCATTGAGGAGGGTGCTAGTCCTGGGGTTCATGTCGTGGCTTGTCCCGGCGGGCTCGGGGGTGGCACCGGTGCTGGAGAGGGTTCTCGCTCTGGGGGTGCTGGAGTGGAGTGTTCCGGAGGAAGCCGCGGTGCAGCTGGCGGTCCAGATGTCATTGTCGAGCAGAGCTGGTGGGTTGCCTCATGCACCTGATGACTTGCACTCGTCCAGATCTCGCATACCCTCTCAGCATCCTGGCTCGCTTTATGGCCACAAGCAGACACCGACCACAGCACTGGTCGGCCGCAATGTGTTATCTAGAAAGTACATAAGGCATGGATTAGTGCTAGGAGGACGCAGGCCAGTGGTCCTTACTGGGCACACTGACGCTTCTTGGGCAGACTGACGCTTCTTGGGCAGACGATGCTGAGACCCTCAGGTCCTCCCAGGGCTACTGCTTTAGCCTTGGTTCAGGGGCCATCTCGTGGAGGTCCACTCGCTCCTCGTCTGTTGCCCAGTCTAGCTGTGAGGTTGAGATCTACGCCAGTGCCATGGCGGCACAGGAGCTCCACTAGCTGACCTTCTTGCTGGCCGACTTAGGTGAGCGGCCTAGCTCTGCCCCGGTTCTGTACGCTAACAATAGGGCCATGATCCTCCTGTGTCTGGAGCCTCGACTTGAGGGCAGAGCGAAGCACATTCAGCTACGGTACTTCCTCCTGCGCGAGCTACAGTATCGTCGCCAGGCCCGCGTAGTCCACTTGGCCTCCGGTGCCAACACAGCTGATATCTTTACTGAGGCGCTTGCGCCTAGAGATCAACAGCGGCACTGTTTCCAGCTTGGTCTAGTTCCTGTAGACTCTCACTTGCTAGGACCTTGATTGTGTACTCCTCTATATTTATACCTTCCAGGCTTGGCCTTGTGGCTTCTCTTCCAGTGGCTAGACTAATAGTGCCGCACTGGTTTGTCCTTGCCTTGTTTGTACTCTTGCTGACTGGTCTTTGGACCCCTGCCTCAGAGGGTGGACTAGTAGTGCCACCCTGAGCTTCATGTTTCTTGCTCAGCACTACCCCTTATCTAGCCTAGGGGGTGTGCCAACTTATATATATGTTAGTATGTAGAAGTTATAGGCTAGATAGGTGTTTGTTCTTAGGGAGTACAACTCCAACCCTTTACCTTGCTTGTTCTCTCTTGTTACTAGTCATTCTAGTATCCTGACTTCCTGCGCCGCTTTTCAATTTCTTTCATGATGTAGACGTCGGTTCCATCCATCTACCATATTGTGATGTTTTTACGTCATGTTATGTTGTGTTTGCAGGGGAACGAATGCTGACTATGTTTAGTGCACTATACAATTTGCGATTATTGTTGCCGGTTGTATTTTCAGGAATTTTACGCTGAATACGCTTTTCGCTTTTTTCACGGTCCCTTCTTGCACCAACCCTGATGATTCAGCCATTTTTTTTAAGAAAACCAGGATCACCCAACGGAAAAACTAGTACCATCCCTGAATTTCAGGGTGTTTTTTGGGACCAACACTGATAAATCTGCGTGACCTAAAACCAACCATAGGGCATGCTTGCTTCCCATAACGTGCATGCCAATCTCTATTGTAGCACGAAAGCATTGGTGCATTCGTTTTACTGCTTTCACTTTAGTATCATGTACCCTATTTGTTGGCATTCGTTGCACGTTGTTGCATTGTCTTGTGCTTGAAGGATAATGGTGTTGACTATGCCTAGTGCACCATACAACTTGCGATTGTCTTTGCCAGCTAGGGGACTTGCTTCCCATGATGTGCATGTCAATCTCTATTGTCACACGAACACATTGACGCATTCGTCTCACTGCATTCACAATCGATGTGTATGTTTTGTATTGTATTATCGTCGAGACTTTGCATGTATGCTATGCATGTCCATATCTTCATGTCATACAATGTGATGATGATGTTGCGATTTCTATCATTCTCCGTCTTAGCAAATGATTTGAGCCTCTCTCATCATTCTTAGATAGGTTACGTAATTGTCACAAATCTCTTATTGTAGTAAACCACGTATTTAGGGTGGTCAAGATCTAGAGTTGGTG